TTTAAAGGGGCCTGGGGGGGGGGGGGCATATGTAATACTTTAAACAATAAAGAATTAAAAATAAGGATAAAATAAAAAATAAAGGGCAATTCATTGCATGCAATGGAAACAAATAAAACTTCATTTCGGACATTTCTAAATCTAAACCCTACACTCTCAATAAACCTTCCAGTTTCAATTTTTTTTTTTTACCTCTGAGTCTATTTTTGATCATCAGTTTATTTGGTTCACTAGATTCCATATATGACTGAGATCATGTGATACTTGTCTTTCTCTGACTGGCTTATTTCACTCAGCATAATACCCTCCAGGGCCCTCCATGCTGTTGGAAATGGTAAGAGTTCTTTCTTTTTTATTGCTGCATAGTATTCATTGTATAAATGCACCACAGCTTTTTATCCACTCATCTGCTGGTGGGCACTTTGGCTCTTTCCAAATCTTAGCTATTGTAAATTGTGCTGCTATGAACATAGGGGTGCATATGTCCTTTCTGATTGGTGTTTTTGATTTCTTGGGATATAGTCCTAGAGGAGGAATCACTGGGACAAATGGCAGTTCCATTTTTAACTTCTTGAGGAAACTCCATACTGTTCTCCACAGTGGCTGCACCAGGCTGCATTCCCACCAGCAGTGCACAAGGGTTCCTTTTTCTCCGCATCCTCGCCAGCACTTGTCGTTTGTTGATTTGTTGATGGTAGCCATTCTGACAGGTGTGAGGTGATACCTCATTGTCATTTTGATTTGCATCTCTCGGATGATCAGGGACTGAGCATTTTTTCATATGTCTCTTGGGCATCTGTATGTCCTCTTTGGAGAAGTGTCTATCTAGGTCCTTTGCTCACTTTTTAATTGGATTGTTTGTGTTCCTTGTGTTAAGTTGTATGAGTTCCCTGTACATTCTGCAGCACCCTCCCCAGCTCTGGCCAGTCTAGAGGTTTTTTCCAATGTGATCTTCCTAAATTGCATATTTTACTTAACCTTTGGAAAAAGTCAGGAAATGTTTAAAGGGAAAGGGAGGAGGGCAGGAAGGGCCAGGAGGGGCGGAGGGGAGGGAAAGCAAACCATAGGAGAGCAAGTCTCATCATCCTGTGGATGGAGAAAGGCCATATGCTAACCTGGGAGAGGCAGAGAGGCCCCGGCTTGGCTGCAGTGAAAAATAACAGCGCGCAGGCCCGGCCTCTCCGCTCCCTCCAGTGAGGGGGGCCTCGCAGCACACAGGTTCCTTTGTTTGTGGGACCTTGTGCTCCATTTGCACAGCAGTCTGAGGTGCCACTGGAGGAAATGAAGCCCACCCCAAAGGTTCAAGGAACAGCCAGCTCAGGGGTTCGCTGGGCAGGTGGAGGAGCTGAAGCGCAGGGCTGGGGGGCTGCTCCCTGGAGAAGGGGGTGCTCCCCTGGAGGAAAGGGTGCTCCCCTGGAGAAGGAGGCTGCTCCCCTGGAGAAGGGGGCTGCTCCCTGGAAAAGGGGGGTGCTCCCCTGGAGAAGGGGGGTGCTCCCCTGGAGAAGGGCGTGCTTCCCTGGAGAAGGAGGTGCTCCCCTGGAGAAGGGGGCTGCTCCCTGGAAAAGGGGGGTGCTCCCCTGGAGAAGGGGGGTGCTCCCCTGGAGAAGGGCGTGCTTCCCTGGAGAAGGAGGTGCTCCCCTGGAGAAGGAGGTACTCCCCTGGAGAAGGGGGTGCTTCCCTGGAGAAGGGGCTGCTCCCCTGGAGGGGCCGTAGGAGGCTCTGGCAGCAAGAACATACCCAAAGGGTTTTCTTTATCACCAAAGGGTCCTGCCTGGGATGGAAAGGGAACTGAGTTAGGATGATAAGCTCTGTATTTAAAAGAGCTTGACAGTTGATAAAACCTTCTCAAAACATACACAGCATTTAATCATTACAAAAGCATCACATGGTAAAGTGCCTCTGCTGCTGGGGTAAAGAGGAGAGGAGGGAGCAGGACCCCTGACCCTTCACCAAGGCAGGACCTTCCAGGGGGCCTGCGGGCAGGTCCAGCCATGGCTGGCGATAACGTTCAAGGAACAATCATCATTTGTCTTCTCTCTCTCTCTCTCCCTCTCTCTTTTTCTCTCATTTTTTTTAAATTTACAGAACAGTATACACCTCTAGCTTTGAAAAAATCCAAACAATACAAAAACATATAAAACAAATGTACATGTATAAAGGGAAGTTTTCCTAAGTCAAATTTCCCAGTATAATCATGGTTAAGATATTGAGCTCTGGCTGGTGTGGCTCAGTTGGTTGAGTGTTGTCCCATGCACCTCAATCCGCAGTAGGGGGTGTGCAGAAGGGAGCCCACTAATGTTTCTTTCTCACAACCATGTTTCTCTCCCTTCCTCTCCCTCTCTAGTCTAAAATCAATATAAATATTGTTTAAAAAAAAGATTTTCAGCCATGGCCAGTTGCTCAATGGTTAGAGCATCAGCCTATGAACAGAAAGGACTCAGGTTCCATTCCTAGTCAAATATTCAGTCATTTTCTGATATTTCCTGAATGTATTTATACAACATATAGATACTTGCATCTTTATTAAAACAAAAAACACAATCTTACTACACATCCCACTGAGTCTGTTCAATTTAACAAGGGTGCTCCCCTGGAGAAGGAGGTGCTCCCCTGGAGAAGGAGGTACTCCCCTGGAGAAGGGGGTGCTTCCCTGGAGAAGGGGCTGCTCCCCTGGAGAAAGGGCCGTAGGCTCTGGCAGCAAGAACATACCCAAAGGGTTTTCTTTATCACCAAAGGGTCCTGCCTGGGATGGAAAGGGAACTGAGTTAGGATGATAAGCTCTGTATTTAAAAGAGCTTGACAGTTGATAAAACCTTCTCAAAACATACACAGCATTTAATCGTTACAAAAGCATCACATGGTAAAGTGCCTCTGCTGCTGGGGTAAAGAGGAGAGGAGGGAGCAGGACCCCTGACCCTTCACCAAGGCAGGACCTTCCAGGGGGCCTGCGGGCAGGTCCAGCCATGGCTGGCGATAACGTTCAAGGAACAATCATCATTTGTCTTCTCTCTCTCTCTCTCCCTCTCTCTTTTTCTCTCATTTTTTTTAAATTTACAGAACAGTATACA